CTACCGGGAATGGGCATGATGGAGTAGTGGCACTACTGTTGGGACGGGAAGATGCCGACCCCGATAGGCCAGACAATCACGGCAAAACTCCACTCTTGTTAGCTGCTGAGAATGGGCACGATGGAGCGGTGAAGCTACTGTTGGGGCGGGAAGATATCAGCCTCGATAGGCCAGACAATGGTGGAAACACCACTCTCGTTGGCTGCTGAGAATGGTCATGAGGGAGTAGTGAAGCTACTGTTGGGGGAGAGAGGTGTCAACCCCGACAGGCCCGACAACCGTGGCCAAACACCGCTCTCGTTGGCCGCCGAGAAAGGGCAAGGTGGGGTAGTGGGGCTATTGCTGAGATGTGAAGATATCAACCCCGGTAGGTCAGACAATCGTGGCCAAACACCGCTCTCGTGGGCTGCCAAGAATGGGCACGATGGAGTAGTGAAGCTGCTATTGGTGTGGGAAAATATCAACCCCGATGGGCCGGACAATGGCGGCAAAACACCCCTCCTGTTGGCTGCCGAGAATGGGTATGACGCAGTAGTGAAGCTTCTGTTGGGGCGAGGAGATGTCAACCCCGATAGGCCAGAAACATGGCACGGCCAAACCCCGCTCTCGCTGGCCGCTGAGAATGGCCATAATGAAGTAGTCATGCTACTGTTGGAGCGGAAGGATGTCAATGCCGATAGGCCGGACAACCGTGGGCAAACACCCCTTTCGCTAGCTGCCGAGAATGGGCATGATGGGGTAGTGAAGACACTTTTAGGACGAGCAGATGTCAACCCTGATGGGCCAGACAATGCCGGCAAAACACCTCTTTCGTGGGCTGCCGGGAATGGGCGCGAGGAAGTTGTGAAGCTTCTGGTAAAGCGAGAAGATGTCAACCCCTGTAAGCCAGACAGTGGCGGCCGAACACCACTCTCACTGGCTGACGAGAAGGGGCGTAATCGAGTGGTGGCTCTACTGTTTGGAAGAAGATACGCATACCTCGACAAGTTGGGCAAAGGAAGCCAAATACCACTGCTGCCGGCTGCTGAGAGCGAGCGTGAGGGTGAGGGTGAGGGAGTGGTGAAACTCCTGCTAAAGCGAGAAGGTGGCGACCCCGGTAAGGCAGACAGCGGTGGTCGAACGTCGCTCTCTTTGGTTGCCGAGAAAGTGCGTGGGGGAGTAGTGAACCTACTATTTGGCAGAAGATACGTCTATCCCGACATGCTGGACAAAAGTGCCCAAGCACCGCTCTCTTTGGCTGCCAGGAAAGGGCATGGGGGGGTGGTGGGTCTATTGTTTGGCCCGGGACACGAAGGCTCCGACGCACTGGGCAAAGACAGTCAAACACCACTCTTATTGGCTGCCAAGTGCGGCCGTGAGCGAGCGGTGAAGCTACCCGAGGCCCGAAAGGTTGCAATCCCCAGCGTGGTCTAAGACCCTTGAGACATGGTATCTTTCAAAGTCATTGAGCTTGGGTATGTGCCCCTTTAGAACTTTGGTAGACACTTCACAGCTGTTCTTGCTATCCATTATTCTAACTCTTGATCCCCTAGAACGATGGGATCGTCATGTAGGCATCGCTCTAGGCTCTTAAAATATTGTGCGAATAGGCGGAGTTTATGCAACCTGGTCTAATATGCCCGAAGTGCGTTTACTTTTTTTTTTCAATATCCCCCTTTTCTCCCTTTCGCGTGTTGGGGATTAAAGTTAGAGGTTTTCACAGATCAGCCCCATCTTTTCCTACTCTTGTGTTCATTCCATTGCTTAATAATAGAACAGACTTGGCTTAGAGTGCAGGATACAGTGTCACGGAGGAATTTCTTTTGTGGGGGGATCTCTCAATCTTGTATCATAACTCTCTTTGCATCTTTGCATGGAGTGATAACAACAATTCCAGAGGCAGCGTTCATTATAGATAACATTTCAGGTGTAATATTATCTACTTATTGCCAACCCCAACGCTCGGGCATTGGAGAGAACCAAATCCCTAGCGCGCCGCTATCTTTTGGCCCCGCCCTCTTGACCAAGCAGTATAGAATCTCGTGCCAGGTTTGGATGCTCAATCTTTCATACCCCGTGCGAATGCAGTAAATTATTGGTAGCGTTGTGGCTGACAGCGGGTGATAACCTATGATGAGAACACCCAGTGCTCTTCCTTTACCACCTAAGGCGGATACTACGGAGGTTTGAGAATTCTCTTCCCCTTTCCCAACAATCCATTCTTGAATCCTTTAAACCCAAATGGAAGGGAGCCACCCTGGAACAACCCTTTAAGTGGTCCTTTCATGAGTCTGAGTTTTCGTTCGAATATGTTTACACAATTCTATCGTATAGGGTATAGTACCGAACAGGAGGGGGGCAATGGGGATGCATCAGGAGATGGTGGTTGTGGGGATGGGGAGTGGCGGGGTGATAAAGGTTAGAACTGGGCTGGGCTCTGCAAAGCATATAAAATCAGGGTTTGTTGTTTAGATCTGGAGAGTCTGGAGGGCATTCCAAGAATGAGAAAAGGAGATGATGGTTGAAAGAACAAAAGGGGCAGGCCCTTTTATACCTTAAACAAGCAGGGAGTAGCCTATCTGGTGCTGTGATAACCATGATTATTCCAGAAATCTAGTGGAATATGATACAGAGAAGCATGAAAAGCATGAGAAGCATAAGAAGCATGAGAAGCATAAGAAGCATAAGAAGCATAAGAAGCATAAGAAGCATAAGAAGCATAAGAAGCATAAGAAGCATAAGAAGCATAAGAAGCATAAGAAGCATAAGAAGCATAAGAAGCATAAGAAGCATAAGAAGCATAAGAAGCATAAGAAGCATAAGAAGCATAAGAAGCATAAGAAGCATAAGAAGCATAAGAAGCATAAGGAGCATAAGGAGCATAAGGAGCATAAGGAGCATAAGGAGCATAAGGAGCATCAAAACATAAGAAGCATCAAAACATATGAGGCATAACAAACATCCATGAAAACAAACTGAAGGGATCCCTCCTATCCACCGAGGGCCCCAGAGCCCAATCAAGACCCAGTATTAGCAGGGCCACTATAAACGTTGATCACCACCCCATTCGGCAACAGAACCTTCCCACCAACCTTCCTAACCCCATCAATAAGCTTCTCACACCTATCGGCAATAATGCCAGCGTGCGTCGCCACATCCTTGCACGAGAGCTTTTGTCCGTAGGAATTGCAGATGCTCACTCGCGCCTTGAAGATGCCGAGGGGGACGAGACAGTCGTCGCCGGACCCGATGAGGGGGCTGCCGCGCGAGCATGACTCGCCAACCTGGCCGGTAGAGAACTCGCGGAGGGCACGGTCGACCTCGGAAGAAGGCGGGGAAGCGGCGGAAGTTTCGCAGATGTACTTGGCAGCTGCGAGGTGTGGTTCGAGGCGAGCGTCCGGGGTGTCAGTGGGGAGAGCGGTAACAAAATTGGAGAGGGGGGGGAGGAAGATGGAGAGGACGAGAGCGGGATTGAAAAGCATTTTTGGTGAGTGTTTTTTGAGTGTTTATCGAAGCGACTGACGTAGTCAGAGAGATTGTAAGTAATTGAAGTAATGTGCTATGGGATCTAAAAGGCTTTTGGAGGGCTCTTGGTAGGTTTATATGAGCTTGCTGGTGTGATGATCTTTAGTGAAACAGTGAAGGTTGACTTTCCTCTCAATTTATGCTGAGTATCGCGAGACTTAGAATCGAGTTAAAGGAATGCATTCAAGTGTTTCCGGGGCAAGTTGGGAAGACAGTATCCTAACTAAGGCTCCCATACCAAGTGCTGACCGGAAATATTACTATATCACTACAAACCACCCCAACGCTCTCTTTTCAAATTGGTTTAGCAACCCCATAGCCGTATCCGCATCGATCCTATGTCTGCTAGCTGCTCTAGGTAAGATATTGAATAAGACAACCTCATTGTATTCCCATGGATGGCTAGGAGCAGCTAAGTATAGCCGGGGGTGGTTTTGTGAAACGAGGAGAGGATAAAGAAGATCTAGTAGCTATATGTGGTTCAATGGATCGTGTCATAAGACTGTTTCTCGGGAGCCTAACTACTATAGTAGGCACTAAAACTGAGTACCCCTCCCGTCATTTGTTCTGCCACAGCGCCCCAAGTGGCGCATGAAAGCGGTATGATGGTAGTGCTTAAAAATAGTTCAAAATAAAGACACTTTTATGCTTAGGAAAGGCTTAATTGCATACGAGGTCTCAAATAATTACCCGAAAACTCTACCACGACCTTCTCTACCCTACTATATTATGAGATGCCCAAAAAATTGTAAGTATGGAAGGATCCTACTTAAATTGGTTCCGGGGGACGGTGTATAGAAAACTAACTATAGGCGCAGCAAATGTTAGTAGATTTCAAAACAAGGCGCTCGGACAGCTCCAAATTATCAGCGGATACTGAGTGCTACCGCGCTTTCAAATCCGATCCTCTCCTAGTAAATAATCGTAATAGGCGGAAGCATAGCAGAGTTGGGATCTAACCATCAAAAGGTGGGTGGGGCGGAATAGATAGTTTTCGGCTTCTGGAATAAACTCCTTTCAAAGGTCTTCTGGGGTGGTGACATATTTGCTGGACAGATATAACAGCTGGTAGCAACTGTTTAACGTTTATGATGTGCTTTTGACAAATTCAAACTCCCATAGGCTCAAGTTTTAGTCTTTTCCGAAAGGCAATCTTTTGTTTACCTACCAGGACATGGCCATTTACCTACCGTGGCGTTGTCTATTCTTTCCTTCTAACTTTCTCACCTGGGCCATAATTTTAACCAGAGCAACCTAGACTGACTCCTCGAGAAGGTAGGATTGAATAAGGATGTGGACAGTAGCATCGGATCCCTGAGACTTTTACCCTTAGATGGTCAGATGGTTTATAGGAATAATCCACTCAGATATGATAAATGAACCTAAAAGGTTTGACATGTACGATATATTCAATTGAGTAATGACAGAGCTTTCGGATACTCTCTCAAATAATAACCCATACTACACGAACAGATTGTTAATGCTCAGGGTTCCCGATAGTATCATTCCAACCCATGCTAAAACATGCGCCACAGCCCGAGAGCACGTCATCAGACGAAAGGTGGATGGGGAATTGAGGGTTTGCCCGCTCCTTCGGGGACGGCAGAGGACCCAAAATGGGGATTAAGACTTCCCGCCCAGGTGCACTGATCCCTCTCGGGCCCGACAGGATTGCAAAGATATGATATGGCCAGCGACAGAAGAGGGAACGCTGGTCGTTAATCCCGATTGCGCGATACCGGTATGTGCGGGTAACCCTCGGTTGGGCAGGAGTGCAAGCCACTGGTGGCTAATAGCTTGTCCTTTTTTCTTTGTTGTTGATCAGTGCCAAGCCCTACCCGGTTCGACCCCCCCATTCGCATGTTTAACAACCCTGGGCCACCATCAAACATCGCAAAAGACCAGAAGACACGACTGTCATCCCACAAACACCGCTTCCGCTACCACCTCCGCTATGTTTCTTCAACCATCCTGATACACAAACCCTCTTTAAACCTCACCCCCGCAACCAAAACAAGCATGCTGAACCCCAAAGGCTCCGGTCTCCGCCGCGTCAAAAAATTTCCCTCCTCATCCGTGCTCGAGAGTGAATACCACAATTCAGCTCCCCCTCCTGTTGTTCTGAGCACCACGCAGACCGCTAGCCAATCTCTTGCGAACATTACGAACCACCCGCCAGCAGCCAAGCGCGCACGCTCTCAATCACAGTCTCAATTTGACGGCCCCAAATACCCGGTAAGCAACAATCAACGATATGCACGCAAGGCTACCTCGAGTGCGCAACTAGTACCAAAACCAAATGCAGCGATCGAAAGCCTTATAAGCAGGCCCCCGTCAAACCTCGTAGAGGCGTTGCAAGATTTACGGTATCTAATTCTTACGGAGGGAATACAGGCGGATAGCGATGGAAATGTATGATCTTTTGTCGCCAGATTGCCCATATGAACATCAGTTGCTGATTATTGCGGGATCAGTCCCCCCTGAGGATATACATCTGGTCTATACTGCTGGGCATAAGTCCGATGCGCACGAGCGATTATGTTTCCCTTGTCCGCCGTGGAGCTTCTAGCAGTTATTCCAAGATCCGCAACGATACGTTCAGGACTCTTGCCACTGACCCCCTATTCCGTCGGAGGGTCTCTGAGGCCTCGCTGATTCGGCTTTTAAACGCATTTCAGTGGAAAATGCGAGATTCTGGTACCGACGCGCAATACGTTCAGGGGATGAACGTCATTGCCGCCCCTTTTCTCTACGCCGCGAGAAGCGAGGTGGAAGCATTCTCCCTTTTTTCGGTGTTTATCCAGAGAGAGTGTCCGGGCTATGTTAAACCAACAATGGAGGGTGTCCACCGTGGACTCAAAGTAAGTTACATATACATCTCCAAAATCTATGATCGGCTACTTTGTTTGGTTTTCCAAGATATGCTAACTCAGATATAGCTGGTGGACCAATGCTTGGAAACGGTCGATCCGAAATTATATGCTCACTTACAGTCGAAGTTTCTCTCCGCAGAACTATATGCCTTCCCCTGTATGTCAATTTGCGGATCCATAGATCCTATCCCCGGTACCAGATTTCCAAGCTAACATGCGATTATTTGCAGCTGTCTTAACACTCTCAGCATGCACACCTCCGCTTCCCGAGGTGCTAAAGTTATGGGATTTCCTCTTGGCATATGGGGCCCATCTCAACATTTTATGCGTAGTCGCGCAGTTGCTGTTGATGCGGGACGAGTTGCTGGTCGCTCAAAGGTATACAGTCCCCTTCGTGGCGCGTTGCTACTGTCCAGCCCCCTATAATATATGCTAACTCTCCACCCCGCATCTACAGTCCAATGAAACTCCTACGGCAATTTCCACCCTTGAACGCAAAAATGATTGTCAGCGTCGCTGTGAGCTTAGTGCGAAAGATCCCAGAGGAACTTTTTGAGGAGCTCGTGAACCACGCGCGATGATCATGGCGGTGCAGTCGGTCAGTCAGCGATAACGAATTGCACCTTTGGGGGCGCACATGGTTCCCATAGTTTCCTCTGCCCAACATATTCGCGCCTCCTTCTCTTTTGTTATTCTCGGTGGCCGATTTTAGCTTCTTGATATGTCTTTTTATACAACTGTTTTTCTTATTCCTGTTGGGATGGTAGGGGTGGGGGTTCACGGGATTTTGGGTTCACTAAATGTATTATCATGGGTTAGTTGGGGGGGATTGGCTCGGGGGGCCTGGTGCACAGAGTTGCTTTTTGTCCGTTTTTGTTTTTGCCTCACTTTTCTGTTTTGCCTGGTTTCTCCCTTGAGACGTCCGGGTCTGACGTTTCTTTTTCCCTTTCCCGTTTGTTCCCTTTTGCCTACTTTGATGTTTGCAATCTTTCAGATATCCATATGCCCAGTCATTGCTTGGCACGGTATGATAATCCATTGCGTTTTCTCCTGTTTTATCGTTTGTTATTTCTTCTCTTTGATTAGGTATCTACAAGTAAGGAGGCCTTTGTCAGGAATTAAAATCCAGTTGCTAAGCTAATCGCGAAAGGGTAGTTTCTTCAAATCCATTATACTTGTGATACCTCCTGGGGGTAAGCAGTGCCGTAGATACCGTATATACTCAGCCTGCAGCTCGAGCACACATACCGTGTTCCCCTCTCTTCAAGCAGGATCAAGATCCAGGCCCCGGCACGGCACATGATGGGAATATCAAGATTCATTCCCTTACCAAGCAAGCAGCACGCCCATCAATTGCTGAGCGTTGACGCGAATGGTCTGGACCCCGGAATAAATGAGAAAGAAGATGAAAAAAATGTCCAAGATTCTTTCCCCCTCTACCGTATCACACTCTGGAAGCAAAGTGTCTCATACCAAATGTGGGGCGGGAACTTGCCGTGACCGCCTCATATTCACCCCACCCCTTCCGGTACACGTATGATACCTTCTTGTCTTGAACCACGGCTACTACCGTGACCGTTTAGTCGAATACGGTACGGCAGTCTATCCCAAGCTTCAACAAAACTCACGACGCACCCCCGTGCAGAGCCTCCCTCCACTTCACCCTCCCGTAGTACGGTACCGCACGATAGTGCAGGACGAGGCTAAAGTAGCCGTAGTACGAAGTAAACCTCTCTCTCTCTCTTTCTCCTACTACCACCCCCCAGACAGACATCCATCACACCCGTAAACCGTATTAATTATTACACCGGTAACGTCCGTTCAAGCATCAATTAGTAGGCCCCGCCGCTCGAAACCCCTCTTTCCCCCCCGGCGGGATCATCTCTGTACACTACTTGTATATCTCGCACAGGTCTGGACATTACCAGTGATAGTATAATACCGTATCGTACAGGACGGAGGGTACGGTATACGATGACAGCATGGTGAATACCGAGTCCTTACGAATGGACCTGCAGAGGGGAGAAACCGTAGACTACTGGTACCGGTATTACTGTGCCGTATCAACTCGTGGGATCCATCATCGACGTAAGCAAAGGTTGATCAATCTCCGGTCGACCCACGATAAGATTAGTTTGGACAGGTTGAGAGAATTGCGAATATCGGTTGATAAGGTCCAATACATCACGTAGGCATGTCGTGTCGGGGAAACGCTAGTCCTTCTCTAGAGCTTGTGATTCGAAATCCGGAGATTACGCTGCTGGCGGAGGTAGTGGATTTCACCAGTTAGTACGGTACTGTGATTTGTTTGGCGGACTGACTAACTCGATTAAACGGTGTTCGGTGGGTGGGGAAAGGGGGAGGAAAGGTGAAATAAGGTTTACGGGTACTGTACGGTATCACCGTACTTATTTTAGACGGAAACGAAAGCTTATTAAAAGGATTATTATGATATTATTGTTAAGCTATTGTTACTGTATTGCACGAGGCCCTCTTCCTTCCCTCAGGTTTCGGTTCTCACTCTTTTTGGCTTTGTGATGGCGTTATCGTAGCCTGGGGTTCTTGGCACCGTGTCATGCCGGTACTGCACTCGAGTACTAGAATTATGTTGTTACTGTGTTGAGGGATTACCGGTATGTGGTCTATTTTGTATGGTGAAGTGCAGGACCGGTGTCTAAGTGAAGTGTTTCAAAAAAAGAAGCGTGCCACGTGCCGGTATCATACCGCAGTGGAGTTTGCTTACGCGAAGAGTGAACCGGTACTGTGATATCGTAAGTTAATACGGTAAATTCATCATCGCTATGAAGGGGAGAAAGCACATACCACACTATGTCACCGGTACATATCGTACAATACCGTAGGGCATGGCGCCTCAAGCCCCTCATTCCACAATCCTAGCAAAATACCGGATCGCAGCATGCTCCATCCAATCCTGCTGCACTCGAGTGTACCGGTATCATACTTGGGTATGGTATTCCACAGACCACGGCACCGGTAGAAGCTCAGGACCAAAGCTAAACATCATCATACCAGTGAACCTAACCTGCTCGACCGGAAACGTAAGAAATGCCACGAGGCGCTGGCTCAGGAAAGAATTCCCAAGAACCGCAATTATACTGTGGATCTTTGACATCCTGAACGAATCCTGATACCAATATCATATTCGTACTTCCATATGCATACCGGTAATGCATGTTTGTGTGCTTGGAGGACAGTGCAGTCTCCAGGCACCTTGGGGCCAAGATTCCCAAACCTGGATGTGTTTGGATGGATATTAGTAATCAGAGCTGATTGGACTAAAATCTTGACGTGAGCCCCACCCCTCAAAAAACCCAGGATGGGCACTTGACACCGTAGTTGGACAAGATTGAATATAACCACCAAACACCCCTAGACTAATGTGCACATTTTCCACCATGATATCCCCTCAGCTGGGCGGACACATTCCGGTCGGTTCAGAAATGTTAAACGCTAGCCTATTTGGGCAATTGCGTACGGTAATCGCGAGTGAGGCCTCCGCATGGGGACAGTCTAGGTCCAGTCACGATGATGCCGGGCAGTCCGCATTGGCATCACTCGTGGTACGAGTATCCTGAGCGCTGCGCCATGCCATGACCACAAAGTTCTTCCTATCACGCTCCCTCATATAGGTTAGTGCTCAACAGTAGGGGATAAAGAAAAAAAAGTCTGGAATGTCACCACAACCAAGGGGATTCAAAATGATCACAATCGTTTTGGATCGTCAAACCTCCTTGACCGTTCCTTCTTTCATTTTGCTCTTCGATCTGAAGCCATCCGAGGTTTGAGGACCCCTATTGAGGAGAAAAGAAAAGTTCAAAAAATTCCACAGTCTGACAATATCCCGGCGATATAATACCAATACCCCCGCCCCCGCGACTGGAAAGTCTGATATGTACTCGGTTTGAAGCAGGGAAGAAGGAATGGCAGCTGACTAGACTACCGCAAGGTGCTCAAGCATGGCGTTGAGGTGGACCGCATCAGGCTCGAAAGGTTAGGGGTTGGTATGATAGCGGGGCGGGTGCAACGGCTGTCGCGGGCTTCAACGCCCAAGGGCAAAATAAGCTTTGATTGTGTCCGCCTAGGATGTTCCTGGCTTGAGGGTTTGTTCGGGTCGGGATCGTGCCTTGTCTGCCTGCCCGTTAACCCGTGGCAGCTGGCTGGCTAGCTGTCTGTCTAAGTCCAGTGGGCGTTTCGTGCTGAGGAGAATGGGGGGGGGGGTTGGGCAATAAGAATTTCAGCTTGGTTTCGTTGACAAGACAAATTTTGCACAGCACTTGCTTGCACATAGAGGTTTTCCAATATTTTCGAGGGGATTTGTTATCTGTGCTTTTGAGATTAACGAAGGCTCGCCAGCCGGGACGGGGACGCTTTGTCATGGGTAAGATGGGTAGGGCTGTGATTTTTCCGATTATGTGAGGTGGAACCCCGGTTTTTGTTGCGGGGGTATCGTGGTCTGTAGATTGCCAGTATGGTGAGTGAGGGTGGAGTGGATCGCCATTGGATGGATAGTGTACCCGTTTTTGGGGTATCTTACAAGTACTTGCGCACATTGGCACTTTTATTGGAGCTTTTGGGTTTAGCAGCTACGCGTACAGCGGATGTAATAATATGGCAGTGTTCGTAGAATCTCGTAGGTTCCGGGTACACCCCCCCCCCCCTTCCCTCTAGGATATGTGGCTGTGAAGAAATGTTTAATGAAAACATCCCTTCTCTCCCGTTCTACTTTTACAGTACGGTGCTCCACCGCGACGCATCCCGTAGTGCATTATCAGAGCTAGGCCTCAAGGTGGCGCACCGCATGGGTACCAGCACCCACGACACCCGTTCAAACAGATTGGCGTCCGAGGGCAGATATGAGTGTGTTTTCAAGTGCCACCTGTCTCGCTGCCCCTCCCTAATGGTCAGCATAACCCGCCTATCGCACGGTCCTGTGCTAGCAGTAGTCATAACTAGGTGAACCCCTCCGCCCTGAGTACCGTTCATGCGCACCGCCACTTAAGCTCCTGCCCTACCGTAGGGTACCATACTGCCGGTAGCACTATTAGTATGATAACCCGCCTCCTAGAAGTGTGCGGTTCAATGCTGTGCCCATATGCGATACCAGTGCGCGAAGCTGGTCGCCCAGTGTTGGCCAGAGTAAAGTTTTAACATAATTTAAAGCAAGAACGCGGACTTTGGGCGCAAAATGGCAGCTGGTATTGCATGGGGCTGGCAGCTCACGCATACCGGCCTTACGGTACCCAATGTCTCACTCACGCCTGATCTGAAGCGCCCTGTCGTACGGTTACTTGTGTGTATAGTACCGGTACCGCCTAACACAATACGGTCCCAGAGGTGTGGTCATGGGCCCTGATTTACAAAAATTATCCTAATCCCCGGTACTCGAGTATGCGTGATCGACGCGACAGAGGCGCAATGTATCTATTCCCAAGCTGAAGAAACACAAGTTACCACCGCGGAGTCACGAGGGAATGAATGCATGGAAACTTCCGTGTTCCTGCACCGGTTCGGCGAATGCCCGTGTCTCAAGTCCGGCCGTTGCACACCGGGCGCCGTGTGGTATGAGCGGGCGGGTGTGAGTTGGGCTGATGAGGTCGAGACCGAAGCCCTGGTGCTGGGAAGGGAGGGAGGAAGGGGGGAGGACGAAGTTAACCGGCCTTCTCCTCGTTTCGTCTTTCAAGCACAGCCCCATTCGCAAAAATCTAGGGAATGAACGCTACAAGGTCTTGGCAGCAACAATAGTGCATCATGGTGTCAAACAGGTATGGTGCATCGCCAAGCATCCGCAGAGCCCCAACGACGGTATGTGGGGTACCCATCCACTTGAAGTCGTAGTCGCATACATTTCAATAGTTTGCGAAGGGGCTGTACCCGTGCCTGGCACTGTACTAGTACTCGTCTGCTCCGTACCGCACGTACCGCTTGTGGGATGGAGCTTGGCATGGCGGTGCACACCACCGGTATTGTACCACATTGATCGCACTACACGACCGACTTGTGACCTGATCGAACCATAGTCTACTGCTTCTTCACTTATCATTGCTTTTCAGACCAAGGAGAGCTATGCACATCATAACATACTATCAACGGCCCTGTGATGGGAATGAAGGAACGGGAGAAACAGGGGGGGGGGGGTCCCCTTTCTTTCCTTCTCTCTTTCCTTCCTTCTTTCTTTCTTTCCTTTCCTCCCTTCCTTTCTGACACCGGGATCTGGGCATATTGTTTCTTCTGGAGGAATCCCGGGTTGGGAATTCCACGGCATGATTTCACAGTAAGCACTAATTGAACAGTAGGTTGATGCGGGAAAGAGAAGATGTTCCCCTTCGTACGGGGCAAAAGTGCTGGTTATTGTAGCACGGAAATCTGTTGGAACTACTGTATCCGTGCCCTCTTCTACCAGGTAAGTTAGCCGTTTGCTTGGTTTGCTTGAACGCTTCCGTCCCTTCTATTGGTCCTTTTTTCCTTCGTCCATTGCCCCGCCTCCCGCTATGACTAGGCATCTGCATCACTGGAGCTAAAAATCGCTCCCAATATCCAATCAGGTATCACGCTATGCCCATGTTTTACAGTATTATGTGGGATTTGGGTTTTGTCTCCGGAAGTTAAGTGAGTTCATCTAATGAGCACGCAAGACAGCGGGACCAGATTTTATGGATAGACGAATAAACTAGGAACGGTACAATAAGAGTAAAGGAAGCGGAGATCAAATCGTAAAGGCAAATCTATAAGCGTGAAAAACAAAAACAAAAACAAATACTGCTTGAGGGAAAAAGACAGAAAGAGTAGAAGAGAGACACCTCCGTTTGGCGGGGGCGCCACCCATGAAGCTCGGGAAGCCGAAAAAGAGGAACGATTTCGACGCGACATTCGTTTACCTCAGGACATACTCGTGCTCACGGAGGTATCTGCCGGAGCTGATTAGCAATCGTCCGATATGACGGACCAATGATACATACTGGGTGAGGTGAGTAGGCAGCCTGTACCCTTGTAATCTCTCCGCCGCTCTTAGTGCGTCGAGCGCAGCTTCAAAGTGCGGCCGGGAATCCCTCGTCGAGGAAACGTTTCCAAGGGAAATACAAGCTTCTGCCTTCTATCCGCCAAAAAAAATAACAAAAGCCCGTCAGCTACGCACTCTGCACTGCGAAGCAGCAAAGGGTCATCCCTGTTAATAGGGGTGAAAGTGTATAACTTACAAGCTCCAAGAGCTTGCCGGTCAAGCAGTGGTGCTTTTTGGCATTCTCTTCGGACTGCTTGAACAAGCCCACAGCAGATGAGAAGGCCACACGCGCCTGGTAGTAATCCTCGGTGCCTCGTCTTCTGTCTGCGACGGCATCTTCCTCGTCGGATCCTTCCTCTCGTGAAATCTTAGCCACATATTGCTGCGCATTCAAGAGCCACCACCGTCCGTGACCTATGCCGGGTAAGCCCATCTCCTGTGGGAAATCTGGAATGGCTGTAATGGGAGTAGTCAGGGCGGGGGCCACTCTTCAATACCTTCAAAAGCTGTAGCATGTTCTGGATAGCTCTCCTTGATCCTGTTCCATTCTTTCTCACACCAACGCGCCAGCACATCTATCCCGCCATTGTCTGCATCGAAGTAGGCAAATTCTTGGACTTCATCGATGATCTGTAACCGCTCCCCGAGGCGCCCATTGTCCAGCATGACGCCGCTTATGTCGATATTGTTTACACAGGAGTGAATAGTGCCGATATAACTTTGCCAGCCGTCAGGGCTTTTCTTGAGCTCTCTATTGGCATTGATGATATCTCTCACGGAATTGGCAAAGAGATCTTGGGAGGTCATTGTTGTAAATGTGGGGCTTAAAGGATTGATATATGAGGAGAGTATTGAGAGCTGTCTATAGAGGCTGGGGACGGGATAGGTGGGTTTCTCTTATGATACTGTGAACTCTTTGAGTGGGGAATCAGAAGGAGGTAAAGGACGAAAGAATGTTGTTTGGATGGTTAATTCTTGGAAGGGGAGAAGGCCCCATTATATAGTAGAAATAAACTATATAGAGAAGCTTCCTGGGCCAATAGCAGCCAAGGGCTCCCGGAATTGAACTTGTCTAGAGGTCATCGTAGTAATCTACGAAACTGTCTAGATAGAGACTAATTAGGATATAGAGTATTGCTACGAAAGAGGCTCCCCCGGTTCGAGCTGAAAGTCGCCGTGAGGAAACATTAGGCATGGGTGTATTTCTAGATACAGTATCTTATCCCTCGGCTGCGACTTGGCCCGGGCGTGCTTCCCGTAGCTGCAAGGTGATAGCAAATATCGACATTTGGGATGCCAGAACGTTGCTGCAGGCCTGATATATAGCGTGCCGCGCCCTGTACCTAATGCCATTCAGGCCCGCATACCCGGCTTCATGGAAGCATAAGCGAATGAGGCGTAAGGGTAATTTGGAATGTTCCACGGGGAATCCTATGTCTTGGGGCCAAGGGGATCTGCGTTCGCAGGCCCGAAATATATAGCGCGCTATCTGCACTAGAACCAACGCCTGTAAGCCCTAGTCACGAGGCTCGAGGTCTCCTCAACGCGATCCTGGATACACCCATTGAGCGAAGGTCAAACGGCATAGGTGATCTCAACCTGAAACCTCATTCTTCCTCTCTTATAACATGCCATTTAGTCCTGAGTAAGGGCTAGTGGCTACACTAGGATACCGCAACCTAACAGCATAGAAGTACGGTAGTAGCAATATCTTCAATCGAAACAACTATCCGAGTTAGTATAGCTTGGTGTCGGAGGGGAAATAGGGCAAGCCTAGGTTAAACCCCAAGTATTTTGAAGGGGAAGGGCATAATTGACAAATCGCGAATAAAAGATGAAAAATAACCACCGTGCGTTGTTAGACAACTTTAGAAAAGGCTAAAGAATATGCCGGAAATAATCAGTTCCCGGACTAGGTGATCGGAGCATAGATGACATGAATGACATTGCAAATCCATGATATCGGCGGGCTGGCTTTGTCGGAGCGAAATAACGCTCGGGCTTTGTCAATTGGACGTAGCTGACGTTGTAGAGAGTTGCTTACCTCTCGGGGCAACTTGTCTTCTGCTGTGCTTTTGTCAGCATATCGTATTTTCGGGGACTCAGCAAATTTTGACTAATATTCGTACCCTGGAATGCCAAATAATTGGTCCGTGTGCTATGTTGTTCGAGCTGCCTCCTCTGGTACAGTACCGGTAAGGCCTGTTTTTTTTTTGTTTTCTCATGCCTCTCGGAGGGGCTGAAGAAATACCTTTTGCTCTTGGTTTTTCGCCCCTTTTCCAATGAAGGAAATTTTGGACCACCTAGCACACGTTCCAATTATTTGGGGTTCTACGATCCTGAAACATTAACCCCCGCTCGGATAACCCTCTTGTTCTGCATTAAATGATTTGGATCACTAGATTATCTCCAACTCTCCCCTTACCTAATGGGTCAAATTTGGCCTGCTCCGCCACTGATTTCTCCGATTTTCGACGTTGGTAAGTAAGGCCATGCGAAGGTTTAAGGGACCTTAGGTTTCAGGGAACACATGGTAGTTGAAAGGCATCATGTTCATTTGCTGGGGTAAATGTGATGAGATTTGTTTGTCGGAATGTTTGTTTAGGCCCCATTTTCCGCACGGGAGTTGCGCAAGGCAGGGACTGTATGGCGCGGGTATCATCCAGTGTCGATATACCGGTAAACCGAGTGGTGCGGGGTCGTTAGGGAGGTTTGCGAATCGAGGTATCTTTGCGTGATTCTCTGGCCCCGAAATCGGACGAGAGTGAGACAGGTTTGGGACGGGGACGGGGACGGTAGGGCTGGTGATGGCGGTGCGGTACGGTACGGGTAGTGTGGGGGAAGCGGTAGAAGCAGTATCGTACGGTACTGTACTCGAGTGCTGTACGGTACTGTGCTACACGGAAAGTGCAAGTGAAAGGTGGGCTCCCCCCGAGAGTTGCTCCGGGTAAGTGCCTGAATCGTCCGAGCAATAGATTTTGGGGCCTGCTCCGTTGGGTTGAATTCCAGGGGAATCCTCGGTCGGGTAATTATGTAATAATGAATAAACATTTATCGGATTATTTCACTGGGCCTTTGGTCATTGTATGGGGGAAGGGTCATTATGCTGTGCGGGAAACCGCGGCTCCATCTGTACCCGTGAAGGGGAGATGATTTGCTGATACTATCTTTTTGGCGCTGTCCGGATCTTCCTCGTTGTCGTCACACGTCCTTCGGTTCCCTCCTTCGTTTGGTTGCGGTGGCCCTACCCTTCTCGTTCCTCCATGCTCCCCCTTCCTTCACCCAGACTCGGCGAACTCGTGTGATTTTCGGGCCCTCTTATGTAGCACGCGCAACATATCATACAAGAGATTGTGGGTCGAATTGGCCCCCTCACTCTGCTCCTCCCTTTGATCCTGTCTCTTTGCTGTTTGGCCTGTGCCTCCGCCGGTCCTCTACACTTAGGCCCGCCCGTTCCCTCCTCAAGCCCCACCACAACGGCCAGTAGACGTCTCCTTAACGACACCAATAACAGGAGCTGCCAAGCCCGGAGCCGCGACGTTTGGAAGAGCCTGGAGCTTGTCTATGGTGGCTGGTAGCGGAAGGTGACCATCTTACTGCCCTTACGATCCCTATGGAGTCAATTGTTTTCGCAAATTCACCTCTTGCCGAGTACCTTGAAGGTGTGTTGAGAAATTCAAATCCGTTCTCCTCAACGCACTCTGTTCTTGAATTACTCTGCTGACTGCGCTCGCATAAACAGGGAATGGTGAGAACGAAGCCTCCTGGGGCATCGAACTGTCGAGTCCGCAGGTGGCGAGAGAGAGTCAGCCAATATTCGCTCCGCCACTGACCTCTGTCACCGGTCGTTTCAGGAAAAAAGGGTTGAAGCCCTTGAAGTTGAGCGATCCCGGTTGGAGCCGAAAGGCAAAGTTTTACGAGCTCTTTTCTGTATGTTAATTTTCTAGTGATTCGTTTCTCCGCTGCCCTTTTTAACGCCTATGGTTTCCCTTGTTGACCCCCGGCACTTGCCGAGAATTGGTGACTGATCTTTTTTGTAGAGAGCTGTCGATTCGAGATTGAGCAGGAGTGAGAATTCTAAATTCCTCGAACGCTTCCGTTATATCATTGTCGCATCGCAGCTTTTGAACGAACACGTAAACGTCTCCCATTACGATCGGAAGTCTGGCCCGGGTCCGTTTTCTCTGGATGGGGATGCGTCAGCAGATATCTTTGGCCCACAATATGCGAAGAGCAGATATTGGGCCGGTAGCGGGGGTTGTGTTTTGGTTGTGTCTCTGCTGTTAGCGTGGGTATTGAGAGGTGGCAATGGAAGAAACGGGGTTAGCAAAGGCCGGGCGATAGCGGCCTTGTTGTTATCGGTGATGGTAGCGATCTCCCTTTTTGCCCATGCAAGGCGTAGGTGGCTGCGCTCTCTACGAGCGAAAGCTATAGAGATTGCTGCTTTGTTTGTAGAGAATAGCCAGACATTTGATGTTTTGGCATCGAATGCCGTGACTCTTATCCAAGAGGTGGAGCTTGTTTCCAGAGGATATAGGCTGTGAGTTTCCATCCCTTTTATGATATTTTTTCTCTATCGAACTCAAGTTTGATACTGTGCGAATTACCCCTGACGAATCATTTCAGGAGCACACCTTTACCCCCAATAACTCGATTAGAAAGGGATAGTCAGACTAGACGATGTGCTCGATTACGCCGTTCGGTACTTTCTGCACTTAGCCTGGGAATACCACCGCATATCCGAGCTTGCATATCTCTCCGACATCTGACTCAGGAAATCGATCTGGAGAAGTACTACGATATATATGATATCCGTAGAGAAGACGTGCAAAACATTGAGGCCGGAATAGATAATGGAGAATTTGATGATATGGAGAGCCTTAAAGCATTGAAGGCGTTGGTTCATCGACTCCATACCGTTAGGAGGATATTTCTGTGCTGCTTGTTAGCTTTGGAAGCTGATGGCCGCCACGCCGACTACAACAAGTGGCGCATTACTGTCGAGCATTTGAGGACGCTTGGGAGCCTGGCTGGGGAGCTGGGTAGCGAGATCAAACGTATACTTGGAGAAGAAGAGCGTATGCATATATCCCCCTGTCTATGCTATAATCATGCGGTTGAACTAATCTGTTACAGAATTCTTTGTACCCCCAACCCCCAAATCACCTATTTCTCCCGAGAATGAGCGCTATCGCGGGCAGCTCCGAAAGCTCAATTCCCTTTCCCAGGCTCTCAGGGGGCTTCAGGCTAAGATGCACGTCCTCCGAGAGGAATCAGATCGTACTTTGAAGGAATCTACAGATCTAGTCGATTTTGGTCCCGATCTGCTCATTCACTACGACTCCATTGGAGCGGACTTGCACGCTCTTGTCAGTGAATGGGAGGATGGACGCACCTTTCTTGCGATGAGCCTTGACCGGAACGCTAGTTCTCCGCCCTCAAAATCTCCCGGATCTGTTAGTGGAACTACATTAATAGGCGACACTCCTAGGAATTCCCTATTGCTCGGGAATGGTGGCACTGGGTGGGCAGATGATGCAGGGTTCGGTTTGTTCTCGCCGACAACGGAGGATAGAGAACACCTTTCCGAAGACGAGCAAGTGTTTGAGGCTGTTGCTGAGCCTAGGCCCCGGAGTATGATGACACGGGATGAACGCATTCTCAAGGTGCAAGAGGAGAGAGTAAGAATTGCTGAACATAAGAAGAAAGCTGAGGCTGGGTTAGCACTTCAGAGGGAGTTACAAGCAGTGCTTATCAATCGCCCACCATCGAAAAGAAAGCCCGCAGCAAGCCGTAATATCAGCACTTAGACATTCGTTATCTTGGCTGGCTACTGCAGTCGCTCCGGACGTCCAACCCTTTCCCCGACTGTGCTGTCACGATTTCTTCATTCCTTCCATCTTACTAGACTGCATACCCATGGATGTTTATTCTATCATCTTGATGGGTTTGCTTTTTTTCCTTTGTCAGGCAGCGACGCGCGCTTTGCGATATTGTATTTGGAACGTAACGATTTATGGCCGGGAATGCCTACGATTTGATGAGGAAAATCAAATTATACCCCTCCCCCGCAGCACGCTGAGACTTTCCCCTTGTTTTGTTGTGGATTGCTCGGTTTGCCCCTTTGTGTTTATGCTTTTCTTTGTAGCTTCCCGTTTTCCGTATCATACTTTGCAGCTTTACAAATTTTTTTTCCTCTCTCCTACTTCAAATTGTATAATTTAGTCGATAATCCCGCCTCTAATCCCCCAAAACCCAAACAAAACAAGAAAAACATGCTAATCCGTCTCACATCCATCCTCCCTCTCCTATCGATATGGGGGCCAAAGGGAAAAAAAGAAAACGCTCGGTTTCGCAACGCACGCTCCCTCTTTCCCCTCGCGCATCAGTTGCATATCGCCATGGGTCAGTGGAAGTGCTTCCTAGGGCGTCCGTAAATGAGGGTGGGGTAGAGCTAAACCGGTTCGCAATTGGTTGATTTGTCGGGCATGATTTGTCGTGATAGCCTAGGTTAAAGTATATCTCACTCTATTGGGGGGTTAGGTGGGGTGTCACCACCAGCAATTTTAGGAAGATTCTGGGGTTGATTTTGGGCGCTGGGGTTTTGTTGTAGATATCGATGATACAGTATGGTTTTTCAGGGAAGGGGATCCCGGTGTGTCCAAAGTTACTAGACTACGGATGCGCAGAAGGCATCACGTAATGGAGCTAGCTATCGCATCCTAGGGTAGCCCCCGATCGGTCGGTGTATTATTCCATAGCGCGGGCCTTTTAGTGACCATAGTGGTTGGGGGCGGGGCAATTCCCTCGTGCGAGTATCATCTCATATTATACCGGTACCTGTCCTGTCCGGTCAAAGCTTTTAGACATCCTTCATGCCATGCCAGTCATGATACTCGTGCACAACTTACATTCCGGGTGTGACCCCATCGTGATGACTTTCTTTTTCCTTTTCCTTTCTTGTCTTCTATCGTGGAGCTGTGTTGCTCTTACCAATTCCCGGGAATCGGGGCGGAATGGTGGCTGATGCTTGTGTTTACCCCGCCCTCCGATCCCCCACCGTAGCTTAGCGGCACTGTATTAGTACTGAAACCCATTCCGTCCATTCCAAAAAAAAAAATTTCAATTTCACTTTCACTCCCGGGTACCGCATGACTGCGTAGCCCAACTGGCTCCGATTATCGTACGGCTGTGGCCGGCTTCACCAGTTGGCGGGGATGGAGGTTAGGGTTCTCGGATGATGTCTGCAGTATTGGGCGGGATATTGTAACTTAATTTGTTACTTGCGCTATGAGAGACCCCGCATTGGTGTCGTTATCACTCGCAGTATTGCCTAGGAAGCGTACTGTACTAGTAGTGCTGGTACGACGTGGTTAAGCTACTTGTAAACTTCTAGCTACTGGCGAGTACAGTACTGTATTGTGACCACCCACTCCTACAACTCCGGATTGCGGGAATTAATGTCCCGAGGGGGTGTCACTCGAAAGTGTGTATTATATATGGAATTGGATAGGTGTGATGGGGTAGTAGGATTGACGGCTCACGTTTCCCTGTCGTGAATTAGCGGAGAATCCTGGAATGGGGTAAGTTGGATGCTATTCGAGATTATACAATCCGGAGGGTACACGGGGGGGGTACGGAAGAGGATGGGGAGTCGGATCTTCTGGGATCGCTGTGTGGAGTGCGGACCGTACCGGTAGCTCGATAGATAGATGGATAGATAATGCTTTGAGACGACGGTATTTCGGCCGTCAATGCACGGTTTGGATATGACGTGCACCCTCTTAGGAAAAGTACCTGCGATAACAAATGACTTACTCAATCCCTCCACCGTACGTGTACGTTCGGTATTAGTATTAAGCGTATAAATTACCGCCTTGGATGCCCTTCCCCCCCCTCTTCGCATGTTTGGACGGACTTGGCGGGCAGTGCAGTGCAGTGCAGTGCTATCCCGTTAACCACCGTGGGGTCTGCAGGTAATTTTCGTGGGAGAAAAGGGTGTAATAATTTATAATAGTATGGCACTCCAAAGCTTGGTTATTATATAATCATGTAGTTAGATTTACACCTATAAAATAATTCTCACCGCCGTGTGGAAAAAAGTGTCGAAAGATAAAAAATTTACTTACCATTGATGAGCCGGGTGTTTCGGCCTTCTCACCGCTATCCCTCCCTCCCTCCCTATTTGGAAAGATATCACATAACTTAAATTACTTGTAGGATTTGGATAGTTGCAAATTCCGAACCTTAGTAAATGAGACAGATTGCGAATGGGTACAGTACCGGGGGGGGGTTGGAGAGCCTGGGTGGTATATAGAGGATGTCCTTCCTTTTCTTTTTCTCTCTTGGTTCTTGCCAAACTTTTTGTATAAATTTGAAAGCCCTTCGCTTTGCCATTTATTTCGCGTGGCTCGGTATCATGTGAACACGTGCATTTCCATTCGCTCATTGGCGATATTTTTTTTATTTTACTCATTCTACTTTGCCGCTCTCTTTGTTGATTATAGATGGGGGTGGAATATGCTAGTATTCATGCTCCTTGACATGAACAGTTCGCGGACATTACGCTTTGGGGTGGACCGAGTCTTAGTGAGGGTAAATTTAACAACGGTACAGTAGGATGGCCCCAATGTTCGATGACTACCGGCGGTAGGAACGAGCGCCCCAAGATTCTAGCGAACATGTACATACTAAATCATAGATCACTATCTGAGTTCCCGGTGGATGCCCGGAACCTCCCCGAGAATTCTTATGGCAGTCCCAGATCGCCTTTACTGTGCAGGCGTCTGGAAGCTTGATCAATTAAAAATTCACCGCCGGCAATTGCCATACTGTCATACCCGTCCAATCGGAGTGGGGTATCGGCAATTTCTAGTTTGGAGGAATGCCGGGCTCAGGCCCCATTATTCCAGTATGGTTGCCGAGGTATAGAGTTAGATAGAACGGCGAGTTTTCGGCGATTCGCAGTTCGCAGCACCGCCATTGCAAGTCGCATATTTGTTGATGGGAAGCAAGGATTAATAATTCCTGTCGCTGGGATGCTAACTCATTTGTGTTCTTACCAAAGACGGTTTGCTGACTGCGGGTTAGTAATAGGTTTAATGCCTTTTTTGTCTGATTGTGTCGGTGTGCACGGTATGAGGCCTTAGAGTACTGTGCTCGAGCAGGTAGTCAATTGTAACTTGTACGGGTAATATAACCTAACACTGGGTTTTGGTAATATACTCCTAGTCTAGTTAGCCTATGATATCGGCTTTCAAAGTTTCTGGAAAGAACTGGAGGGGTCGCAATCGCTATTCGAGTAGACCGAGTTCTCTCAGTATTGAAATTAGTAAACATCCAAAGTTACCGCGGTTGAGGGACGAATTCTCGAATACTAAGCCAGAGTTTAATGGAAATCGATTTTTTTTCCTTTTCCCTACTCAATACGCAGCGCCACAAACTTTAACGGAGGCAAAAAAATCATGCACCTCGGAGAAGTTCCTGCTGCGCCCAGGATTAAGTTAACGCCGGAAGTTGGGCGTTGCATTCTTAGTGTAGACCTATATGAAATTGCTCCAAAGGATTGGGGCGAATTGCTCTTTCCGGAAGCAGAACCGCGACGGCCTCTTTTTAGATATGTGCGCAAGATTCTATATCCGATACCAACGACCCGAGGGAGACTGATCGGGAGTGTAGAATATGCTTACGGTACAGTGTCGGTGAGCTGGGGAGATCTCGGGAATATAAATTTAATATCGTATGATACTGTACATGGTCGGGAAAGCTTACTCATCGGCCCTTCCATGGGCCACGTCATCAGTCAGCCCAATGTGAAAAAAATTCGCAGTGAGGGATAGCTGTTTGTGTTGGGTCATAGAAAGGCGAAGATTTGGACCCTCGCGTCCGCTCTGCAGTAAACAAGTAAATTAAGTTATCTTATCGACCGGTTAGTATTGTACTTGTACTACTGTGGGTGGCCATGTGGGAATCCCGGTTGACCAACTCCTTTGGAATTGTTCTTGTTTTGGCTTAGTGTTTTGTAGCATAACGGTTTTTTTATTTTTATTTTTTACTGGATGGCTTGGGTGATTCGGCTGGCTGGCGGAAATGTTGTTGGCGCAAGTCGGCTTGACCCTACCCAACTGGGACCGGAGAATTATGAAATAGCACGAAGGTTAGATCATATATAATCACTCATGCATATGAAAGATAGAACTCACCGGCTATCCTTGCTGACGTTTCTTCTCCCTTTAGGACTCGTTCCTCTTTTTTTTTTTTACAACGGAGATTTGGGGGGGTCACTAATGTGAGGGGTATTTCATTAAATCCCTTCACAGGTTTTCGAGCACTTGAAAGAGCAGCTAGGCTGGTATTTTGAGCATTGCGTGGTGGATATGAGTGAAAATTGGTGCGGCGATTGATAGTGTCTTTCTTTCGCGCATACTGTGAATCTTGCTGGCCATATAAGATTCAGTACCTATTCCAGAGATATGAAACGAAAGAAATGGCGATAATAAGCAATAGCTTTCTGAGGTATAAATCAAAGCGGTTTGATTGTGGCGGACATGTGAGCGCCAGCGATCTGCAATGACTGAGTCAGTGCGATGAGGCAGCTTTACGGAAACAAGTAGGGCAGCACCACCGTGAGTAAAGACCCATTTCTTCGTATCGTAACTGCAATTCGGGAGGCTGTTATGGATCATGACAGCACCCGGAGAGCCTGAGCCTGGTAATCAGGGAGGCTGTTCTCCACATCTTGTCTCAAAATCTCAATACTTCACTTTGCTTAGGATTCACGGCTATGCTGGGTCCGCTTCTCATTTCGTTTGCTCACTCTGAATTCACTATGGGAGTAGTTTAAGGATGATTTATGCTTACAACTGTGCAGCTAGGCTACACAGCAAGGTCGTGTGATATTGTTTTTAATATCGCTCTTTGGTATGAGATTGGTAGTTTTCCTTGTTTCGTGTATTAACAAACATTTCCTGACTTGGAGACCTTATCCAGATCAGCGGGCTAGGCTCTTGGGTAGGGGCAACTTTTTGGCTTACTGATCTATGATGAATACAGGGCTCGGGTTAAAAATTGATACTATCGTATCCTCCCATTTCCCTTTTATTTTGTTATAATTTTGTTGTCATAGAGCATTATTGAGGCGTCTCTGGGATAAAGTGGAGATGGTTTTCATAGTTGAGAGATTCAACACCGAGAGCGCGTTGTGTCCTGTTGCAGCATTTATTTCCACTCCCTGAACACCCAAGAGATCCG